GATGCGTGTAATGCGGCGCAATCTATCCTGACTGACGCGGCAGTGAAGACGCCCAAGTCACTCGCGGCCGGCGGGCTATGTACGTACACACACACACACACACACACACACACACACACACACACACACACACACATATATATATATATATATATATATATATATATATATATATATATATATATATTGGATATATATAAATTATATATATATATATTGGAATATTTTGGCAGAATTCTTTCTTTGATGCATGTTTAATTAAAAATAACTGCTGACTCAGCATTGACGACCTTGATGCATCGTTCCAGTTTCCGGGCCTTTGACTTTGTGTCATCGCTTAGATTAAAGATGGTTCGCACAAAATTACTCATATATTCATCACTCCTTCCATTCTAACGTTTCGAGATCTTATCTCATCTTCGGAGAGGACTAAATTGCACAAGAAATAAGTTTCGAGTTTTAAAGAACGAAAAATTGTGCACTTCTGTTGTAAAACATCCCTTGGTTTGGAGAACATAAATGAAGCATAACTAATTGAAGTAAGACGGATTCCTATTTTCACTTTCATGCATGTAAGAAACGCTCATAATAGGAACATCACAAAGACACAATGGGAACACTATTGTCACAATCACATCAGAAGTGCTCATCGCCCACCACCTAGTAGTTCAAGAGTTCTGCAAGAATTTGTCTGTCTGTTTAAGGCCGGAGAGTTCGTTAATAGATATGCTTTCCCAAATTTGGACCACATGCGACAGGAACACGACATGACATTGACGCGACAACAGCTGACAGACAGCACTGACATATTACGGACGTGCAGTGACAGAAGACGCCTTCAAATTTGGGAAAGCATGTTTATTAACGAACTCTCTCCGGCCTTAAACAGACAGACAAATTCTTGCAGAACTCTTGAACTACTAGGTGGTGGGCGGTGAGCACTTCTGATGTGATTGTGACAATAGTGTTCCCATTGTGTCTTTGTGATGTTCCCATTATGAGTGCTTCTTACATGTACGAAAATGAAAATAGGAATCCGTCTTACTTCAATCAGTTATGCTTCATTTATGTTCTCCGTACCAAAAGATGTTTTACAGCAGTAGTGCACAATTTTTCATTCTTTAAAACTCAAAACTTATATCTTGTGCAATTTAGTCTTCTTCGAAGATGAGATAAGATCTCGAAACGTTAGAAAGGAAGGAGTGATGAATATATGAGTAATTTTGTGTGAACCATCTTTAATCTAAGCGATGACGCAAAGTCAAAGGCCCGGAAACTGGAACAATGCATCAAAAACCTCGTCAATGCTGAGTCAGCAGTTATTTTTAATGAAATATATATATATATATATATATATATATATATATATATATATATATACATATATATATATATATATATATATATATATATATATGTATGTATATATGTTGGAATATTTCGGCAGAATCCTTTCTTTTATGCATGTTGGCATCATCGCTTAAATTAAAGGTGGTCCACGCAAAATAACTCATATATTCATCGCTCCTTACATTCTAACGCTTCGAAATCCTATCTAATCGTCGGAGAGGGCTGAATTCACACCGTATTGCCGAATCGAGGGTGTCGCGATGGGTTCACCTCTAGAGCTTTTATTCGCTAAGTTCTTTATTAGACTCGTAGAAGCCGATACACTAAAAACGACGACCTAAGACCGGACATTTACTGCCACTACATAGACGATATCTTTGTGGAAGTTACTGACATTGACCAACTAGGACGGCTCAAGACGTCAGAGAAGACTGAATGGCGCAGTATGGCTAAATCGAGAGTGTTGCGATGGGCTCACCTCTAGGGCCTTCATGCGCTAGTTTTTATAGGACACATAGAAGCCGACGCACTACAAAACGACAAGACCGGACAACTACTGCCGCTACATACATACATATAGATATAGATATAGATATAGATATAGATATAGATATAGATATAATATAGAAAGAGAGAGAGAGAGAGATATATATATATATATATATATATATATATATATATATATATATATATGTATATATATTGCACAGCAGAAGACGTAGAAACAATCCCTAGGTATATAGTGTCCCGGCATATTAGCAAATGGGCCCCCGACAATAGCGTGGAGCCTTTCAGGCAGTGGAGGTATCCATAAGGGACCTCTGCTTGATCAAGACCGCCCCGGCATGTTAGCATATAGGGCCCCCAACAATAGCGTGGAGCCTTTCAGGCAGTAGAAGTATCCATAAGGGGCCTCTGCTTGATCAAGAGTGCCCCGGCATGTTAGCGTATAGGGCCCGACAACAGCGTAGGGCTCTCGGAGCAAATGCAAAGAAATCAAGAGCAACGTGGAATGCCCCTTAGCGACCGGATTTCCCCGGCCAATGGGCATGTAGGTTCCCAAACAACAACATAGGGCCCGTCGATAGTTAATTAAGCCCTAAAACCTCCCCAACCGCTACACTCTCATGTACATAGGGACAAGCCATTTTTGTCTGCTTAAGGTACTTTCGTTTTCGCTTGTAAGCCTTCCTGGTCACCTGCAGGATCAAAGAGTCCAGTTTTTAGTGTGTTGTATTAAAAAACACGCATCGGTTTGACCGGTTTTTAGCCCCTTCGGGGCCCAAGAATGCGTAGCCCCGTGTCTCCCCCCCCCCCCCCTTGAATCCGCCACTGTTGCTGTGACTAAAACCGCGCTGTGTTTGGACAGGGAACCTGGAGCTTTGCATAACAACGCCAGGGTCAATGAGGATTCCGTGAGCGTACCGAACCGCTGGCATACGTTCTAAAAATAGGAGAAGAGGTTCTGAAAATGTGAGGGAACCACTCCACATGCGCGAGTCACTGAATACTAGCTCTATCGCTGGTCACAGGGGCACGTGACGGAAAGCTGATAGCGGTGGGCGGAGTCGTTGTACAGTCACATCACACCACGTCGGCGGAGCACGATAGAGTGATGACGCCGCCGTGAAATTCCCAGGAGGATGGGAACTACCAGATATGAAGGAGATACGGCTTCCGTCAAACATTTGTACAGCAATGTACCTTGAACGCCATGTGGGATCAATTCAGGCATTTGAGATCTCGGAATCTACTGAATAATTTTTGATTTGGGATGTCTCTGGCGAAAACGTGCATGGACTTACTGGCATGAGCTTACTTTGTGGACACAAATGTCGAAGGGTAGCTGCGTCGCACCCATCAGTTCAAAATAAGTAAAATCAGAGCAAATTGCTGCATGGAAACAATGTATTGATATCTCCTGCTCACTTTTGCATTTGGTGTTGCCGTGATGTGTAGCTCAGATGGACGCATCAAACTGTTTTGGGATCAAAGAAGAATGCAGGAGCTGGGGATGAGAGCGAATAAAACCGTTTGATGGCGAGCAGTGTTGTATTGCAAGCCGACATGTGCCAAATCCCAGGGTCCGATCCCAGGGTCTGATCCCATGATTTCACGGAGCCCGACCCTAATAACTGCCACGTTTTCCTCATATTTTGGCGCCTCACACCACCCATGTGACTTAATGCTCTCCTCTCCGCAAACTGCGAACGTTGTTGATGTGTGCCGGGACTTCACGGAGAACGGTGTATTTTCTCCTGGAATAACGGCCCTCAACAGAAATGACGACACAGTCCACTTATCTTTTCTGGAAACCATTTTAATGCCTTTTTGTTTCATGCCTTAGCCATTCTCAAGAGGTCATGCTACCAAACACAGTAGACGGAAAAATAGGGATGGTGAAAGGGTACTTCGGAGCAAAATGAGCCGTCATGACTGTAAAAGATGACTCTTAAACACACACAAAAAAGTTAACAGCAGTTTGAAATACGACCGGTATCGTCAAGAATCATCATCAAGAAACGCAATTCAGCGTCATGTGCACAACTCTGTCGCAAAGGGCAGTCTTGAAGCCCAGACCGTTTAAGTCAGCCCAGGGAAACAAGCCAGAAGACCACGACCTAGATCGCAAAAGCAATAGAGGTCGTGCTTCGGAGCTCCCGCCACTCCATCCGTCGTCCCGAGCAGGAACAGTCTGCAGCAAAGCCACCGTGCTAAGGCTGGCAGGACAAGAGCTCAATCTGTTCTCATGCTCACTTCAAAAGCTGTCACCAACCGATCGTAACGCACACCTGTGCTACAGGAACTCGTTGTAATCTAACTCTTCCTCCATCGTCCAGATTGCCGAAGAGGTTTACTTTCATTTAGAGGCAAAGTTAATACCCAAAACAATCGTTTTTGGTCTACTGGGGCTTCCGAAAAGGCTCGCGAAGCACCAATGCACAGCTGAAAGCACACCGCCCGATGCAGCACGAACTGGCGAAGGGTCATTGGCCCCTACTGGTACAAGGGCAGCTGAGGAGCTGCAGTGAAGGCAGTGGCCGAACATTACATGGCAGCTTCATACAAGTTCGGGATGGCTTCGAAGAAAATCTGCGGCTAAGAAATGTCACGTCAGGGGCTTCAACAAGGTGATATGACGACACATGCGGCGGGTGAGACGAGATCGTGGCTCAAACGGTGGTTTGGAACAGGAACACTCTAAGGCTCACTGAGAACATCTTGGACGCCTCCCCACACAGAAGAGGCTAGTCTTCCAAATTTCCAACTACCTCAATCTTCCAACTGGCACGAGTCCTTCCCATGCTGCGGCCTGTCGGGTCATAAGACCCCGAGACTCCATAGCCCAGCAGCCGCCGGCGGAGCGGCGTGGGCCGCGTCAGGGCCACACCCGTCGGTCGAGGTCTGCGTCTGGTCTGGCCGGTCTGGTCTGCCGGCCGGCGGGCTGCTATCTGCGGCCGCGGGGGGCAGTCTCCGGGCGCCGGATGGACAGGCGGGAGTCCTCCGCGCGCCGCCCTCCTGGGAGCCGCCATCTGGCCAGCTGACCACCCGCGATAACGCACCTGACGCGGCCGCTTATAACGCACGGTCGTCAGCCCCATCCGGTAGTCTCCAGCTCTCAGCGCCAGCTCCAGCTCCAGCTCCCCGAGCAGCAACGCCACCCGTCAGTCATGATCGGCCTGCAGACTGTGCTGTTGGTGGGCGGCCTGGTCGCCGCGGCCGTGGCCACGCCCTATCAGGACTGTGGTAGGTGGAGTCTGGTGACGCCTCGGGCTGTGGGGCTGCCGTACCGGACCGACAGCGGCGCAATGGCCGCCGTGCCGAGGGCTTCGGCGCCTCGGTGTTGCAGGCCGGTGATGGCCCCTACCGAAGCGCGCCTGTTAAGAAACCTGGGGAGAACTGACCTCAGTGCCATGTCAAGGTGGCTCACTGGCAGAACTGCCCTGATAGCCAACGTCATTGTGCATTAACATTGAAGTGACCTATTGATATTAAGGTATAACGTTTCATACTATTTCCCAAAATACCATGTCTCACTTGGCTTGAATACAGCATCGCTGCTAGCAAAGCTTTATAAAAACCGCTGGTCACCGAAGTCCGCATTTTCCCCCCCAAAGAGATGCTGCTCTCTGTGTGTGCTTCTTGACTTTTTGGTGAAATTGTTAGTGCACTGCTGGGCCGATGCTACTACAGATAGACTTAAGGTGGAGATCACACTATGCCGTCCGGAACGCATCTCACTCGTCTTGTCGGCAAGACTAGTAGACCAAACTGAAGTTAAAAGCGTTCCGCCTTAGAAGAAGTGTTCCGAGTTTCTATGAACGCATATGCACGTGTCTGTCCATACTCAGAAGATTTGGCTTTTATTGTTTAAATGGTCCATTTAACCATGCATGCGTGTAAGTGTAGGTCTCGTGCTCGACCCTGCTTACAAGCACACACTCCGTGGGGTACCGCTGGGCGTTGTCAGTTCTCGCACCCGACCCTGTTCACAGGCATCCACTCTTTGGAGCGCCGCTGGGCATTGTCTGCTCTCACACCCGGCGCTGCTCACAGGCACCCACTCTTTGGAGCGCCGCTGGGCATTGTCGGATCTCACACCCGACCCTGCTCACAGGCACCCACTCTTTGGAGTGCCGCTGGGCAATGTCGGCTCTCACACCCGACCCTGTTCACAGGCACCCGCTCCGTGCTGACCTCACTGGAGATCGTTGGCTGTGATGAGGTGCCCTGCATTCTCAAGAGGGGCGGCAAGGTCACTCTCAACGCCGACATTCTCTCCGGTACGACGCGGATCCTCGCGAGATCGAGATTTGCCGAGAGATCGCGAGATCGAGATTTGCCGAGAGATCGCGAGAGAACCCCGTGACGACATTGACATCTAGACCCAGTGAATGTCCTTCGACATTGTAGCAATGGGTGCGACGTGCTACCAGTCTTGTCCAGCCGATGACGCGTTTCAGGACGCATTGTATACAAAACTAAATCCGGCATCGGTGTAATGATCGGAGTGAGTGTGGGCAGTTTTGGTCCGAGCAGCCCATGAAGCTGGGACGGAAAACCAAAGTCGCACTTGCATATGAAGAACAGTGTTTTCTTTTTTGCAGCTTCACTTAAGAGATCTGTACTGTCCGTCGCAGCGTTATCAGGGGTGACCAGCTACTGCTGTTGGTTTCAGACACACACACCGACGGCCTGGTTTCTGAGATTGCCGGCATCATCGCTGGTGTACCAGTGCCCTTCCTCAAGGACGACAAGGTGATAAGCTCGTCACCACATGGTGGGGTTTATATGGTCGGTACGACATTATTTGGTAGTGGTCAAGGACGTGTCCGAGGGCTTTTACTCCTTAATGCCCACTGTCCCCTGCCCTCAACGTCTGCAAATTTCATCACATTCGCGTTGACTTGGACGTCCATGTTGAAAACAACCAAGCTGGGGTAAGCAGACGCACCAAAGGTGTTGGGAAGGGGTGCAGCGAAGCCCAAATCGAAGGTCGCTCCTGGGTCCAGGTGAGAACAGACCCGAACCCAGATACCACGTGATTCGAGGTCAAGGGGCTCTCCTAATTATACATAAGCATGAACACTTGAGCCTATATGACAGAGCGGTACCCCAAGACTGAGGCCTCAAACCAAGGTGGGAGGTACCCCAAGACCAGGCCCAAGTGATGGGGTGCTCCAGGCTTGGGTAGAAGGGAATCAGTATCAGTACCGGCGCCTCAAGGTAACTTAAGGGTACCTTAATCCCAAGTAAACGAGTGTTCCAGGCTTAGGTAGAGGCGCGCCCGAAATCCAAGGGCGCCCTATGTGATGGGGTGCTCCCTTGTGAAGGGAGAACTGAGGAAAGCTCTCACTTTATTGTTGATATATATATATATATATATATATATATATATATATATATATATATATATATACCAGAAAATGAAACCGACTCGGTAAAGGTAGCCAACAGAAGTGTCAAATTACTGAGCGGCCAGAACGTACAGCAGCGCTCAGGTCTATCCTCACAGATCAATCAGATCTCCTCCCGTGCACGGAACATCCAGAACTATCCCCCAGTCTCAGTCAGTCAGTCAGTCAGTTAGTCAGACCCGCCAGTCAGTCAGTCAGTCAGGTCAGTCAGTCAGTCAGTCAGTCAGTCAGTCAGTCAGTCAGTCAGTCAGTCAGTCAGTCAGTCAGTCAGTCAGACTATTACGCAGACCACCCACTGCTTCGTGTAAAGATTCGCCCGTTAGAACGCAATCAAAGCCCCTTGTAACGGCTCGCCCTGTAACGGGTAGGCAGATCAAATGTCACCTTAGCGGCGCACCCTCTGCAATAGACCAATCAGAGCTGACGCTAGCGACCCGCCGTCTGGAGAAAGCCAATCAAGGTTTCCCGTAATGACCAGGCCTACGCAACAGACCAACCAGAGCTGACCCTAGCGTCCCACTGTCTAGAGAAAGCCAATCAGTGTTTCCCGTAATGACCAGGCCTACGCAACAGGCCAACCAGAGCTGACTGTAGGGCCTCGCTCTCTGAGGAAAGCCAGTCGGGGCTTCTCGTAATGGCCAGGCCTCTGTAAACGACTAGCCGGAGCCGGTCCTGACGCCCCGCCCTCTACCGACAGGCTTGCGACGGTCTGACGTCTGGCTCGTGCCCCCTCGAGGTCGCCGACAAGGCGTCGTTCTCCGCCAGCGTGGACGTGTTGAAGGAGTACCCGCCGATTGCCGTCACCCTTCAGTGGAAGCTGAAGGACGACGCAGGCTCAGAAATGTGCTGCGTGGAGATTCCAGCCAAGATCCAGTGAGCAGCGTCCAGCGACCCGTTCGCCCGCGCCGGCGCGCTCGGCTCGGTCGGTGCCGGCTGGTCCGCGGGAGGGGCCGTCCAGGATCGGACAGTGCTCCACTCCGGACTGCGGCGTCTGTGACGTACCGTCGGTGACGTACCGTCGGTGACGCGCCGTCGGTGAGGTACCGTCGGTGACGCGCCGGCGGTAACGCACCGCCGGTGACGTGCCGTCAGCGGCGGATCGGGCTGTTGGCAGACGGCCGGGCGGCGGGTCGACGCAAGCTCCGACGCAACCATTTGATTCATCCCAGTATTTATTTCATCGTCCGTCGTGTCCGACAAGCGTAAGGCGCTGTTTTGTGATGTAGCAGGCGTACGTCAATCAAATACAGACTGCAGCTGAAGATGTCTTTTGAAAAGAGCCGCGCGGGCAGCTGAACGGCTGATGTCGAGACCGATCCGGCCTGACCCGCTCGGTTTGAGCACATCGCTGAGTTAATAGCCCGACGGTTCATCGTCGGAACCCTCCAAATATCCAAATATCCAAAGATACCGCTGCGGATTTGGATCGTGCATTAGCCACTGCATGGCAGCCATTTGTATGGGTCAGTTTTTTTATGTTGTTCTTGACTTCTGATGCTAGAGTTTTGTCAGCATTTGGTGTCAAATACCGATCATATCGAAAACGTGCTTAACCGTGTACAGTTTGCGGTTTTAGAATGCATTTGTACATTGATTCTTGCAATGGCAATGAATGGGCATGACTGAGATATGTGCAAGGATCATCCGTTCCATTCACTCCTACCCAAAGTAGCAAGCATCCCAGCTACATTTTTGTTTTGCTTGCCGTAAAATAGCCCGGCCTGTTTCCTTTCTAATTTCAATCGTGCAATCCGGAGCATGCGTAAAATGTCATAACATGCGTTGACACACCCGGATCAGAACGAAAGGATGCACAGTATACAGTCTAGTTCACTTCTAGCTGTCCCGATAGTATACCTACACTTAACTATATCTAGAAAGCCACCGATAGCTGAGGAGCTATGAATATTCAGGTAGATGTAAGGGATTGGGCTTATGGATTGCACAATCGGCAATACCGCAATATCTTCTTTGATTTCGCATGAAGTTGCAATCTATTTCTAAAATGAGAATAGCAATGGAGATAGTCCCGGGTTTTGCAATCACATTCATATAGTAATCATTCTGTCTCCAAGCTCATATGGCAATCCTTCCTCTTGGTTCGCGTGTTTGCGGCCATTTCTTTCCTCAAAATGACGGTGAAATGTTTCTCAACCCACAAAATACATTGATATTTAGGGTCAGGGCCCAATCACTTCGTTTACCGAGGCAATGCAAAGTGGTGCCGAAAGTGTTAATAAGTAATGAATGAAAAAAAAACGTTAAGATATCTCCCGGAGGTATGCGCCTTTTCCTATACAATTCACATACATCGTGCTGAATACGAACAAATTACAACAACGTGCATTCTGGAGCATTCAGTAGCGCAAAGAATGCTCACTGCATCATACGACGAGACGTTTGATATCTGCAGCTCAAGTTTACTGCTTCCGAAGAATGCGAAAAGCTAAAGAGTCACGAACACAGATAGCAGGAGAAAGAACTTATCACCTACACCCACCGTCTAACGCCATCTTATCCTGGTCATCCCTTCAACATATTTTGCCAGCGTACTGTCATGACAGCAACCATCATCATCAACCAGTTGTTAGTGCACACAATCTTCGAGATATATCTCTGGTCGGTCGACGTGGCCCTTGTTGTCCTAAACACCCCTTCACTACGCCTGGCTGAATGGGGACGGTCCGACTGTAAAGTGACGGCACTTATCCGGCGGCCAGAAACAAGTAGGTCGAATCGCGCCCGATTATTGTATCTCTGTGGATTGTATAGATTTTGTGTTGGGTTGTCAGCTGCCAGTACACAGTAGCTGTTCTTGTGCACGTTCAGCAGCATTTTTCCCGCACAACTGTATGCTGACCATCGCGGCACTTGGCAATACATCGTCTCGGTGCGATTTCAACAGAAAGGTCATGTCGGCCGATGAGCAATTCCGTTGCCATCCGGACACTCTCCCATGATGCCAATGTTTACGCATGGCCGCACACGCCGCGCAAGACTAAAAGTATTCTAAATTAAAAACTGTAGCTTTGCAGATTGCAGCTGCGGGCGTCTCGCCAAAACTGGGTTAGGAATTGGCCGAAAAAGATGATGCGCTTTTTGAGCGCGTTAATAAGCGTTTTCCCGGGCTGCCACTACTGAGCAATGCGCAGTCTCGGGGGGGGGGGGGGGGGGGAGGGCGAATTGAGCAAAAAGGTCATGTCGGTTGACGAACGATTTACATCGCATCACGAACGCTCCCCAACGACATTATGTGTGCATGTTGGCAGCCAGCGAACAAAACTCAAAGTATTTTATATTGCAAGGTACAATGCTACAAGTCGCCGCTGCAGCCGTCTCGCTAGAACTGCGTTGAAAGATCGACCGAACAAAACAGATGACGTCATTGAAAAAAGCTGATATTCTGGCAGCTAGCAGCCCTAATAGCAGCCCCAGGCCATTCTTTAGCCCCAGCGGCGCTAAAAAAATGCACGGGATAGCTATCATTGCGCGTGCTTATAATTGTTTCTTGGACAACTGCATGCCAACCATCGCGCTACTTGGCAATGCAGCATTTCAGGGTCATTGAAATAACAAAAGTCATATCGGCTGATGAGCAATCTACATATCCGCCTGAATGCTCTTCCACAATTACATCGTGTGCATATGGTCGTACGCCACGCACGACCAGAATTATACCAAATTGCAAGTCGTAACTTTACACGTCGGCGCTGCGGCCATCTCACCAACGCTGAGCCACAACATTGAGCAACTGAAATAGATAACGTCATCAAAAATGGGCAGATGATTGCACTTAGCCTCCCCGAGAGATGGTCGGTCCACCTCCTCTGACTCTGGTTGATGATTGGTCACCACTGCGCCACACTTACACGCCGCGTCCGTCAGCGGCCGTCACCGAGCAGGCGGCTGAACAGCGTGGTTCAAAATTCAGACACGTTTTAAGCATGCATGGTTAAACGCTACAACCACACCTTACCACGCACGGTCAAACTGATCTGCCGCAGCTGACCACTCATCGACCCCGCGTCGGTGACCGATCGCCGACAGGATCAGCGAGCCCCTCTATGTCTGCCGGCAGGATCAGCGAACCACTCGATGTCTGCCGGCAGGATCAGCGAACCCCTCGGTGTCTGCCGACAAGATCAGCGAGTCCCTCGATGTCTGCCGACAAGATCAGTGAGCCTCTCAATGCCTACCGACAGGATCCGCGAGTCCCTCGATGTCTGCCGACAGCATCAGCGGGCCCCTCGATGCCTGTCGGCGGCTGGCGGCGGGAACACAGCAACGGAACTGTGGTGACCGAACTGACGGAAAGAGAATGGACCTACCACGCAAGTCTAACTTTTCTTCGCTTAGAAAGAGGGAAAATTGTAGGTTTCAAACAAGCACCTTGCCAACCCGATCCACTACTGAGCTTCACTTAAAGCCGTCACGCTACGTCCTAAAACACTGTGATAATGAAGATCGTTACCACGCACTCGCGCTCTATAGGGCTAGAACTTCGCACAGTCATCACTTGTGACAGGGAGCCTCTGGCGAAACGAGAGATACCAAAGGTATCAGGGAGTATGTCCTTAAAGACAATCGATCAACAAATATTTGTTTAATATGCCCTTGTTATCTGTTCAGACCGTGTCCATTCCATTTTATGGCGGCCCGCCGTCTCGGATTTGGATGAACCATGCATGCGTTTATGAAGGAGCAGAATGTGATGTATTTATGATAATCGCATTAATGTGTCAACAGCCCCGTCTACACTGGGTGATATGCGTTTGCCAAAGCTCGACACGCCACCCATATCTGACAGATCATGGAGCGTGCGGTGTCTACCCCAAGTCTCGCCCTCATCTGTGAGTGGGCCGACGCCCATACTCTCGGAAAAACCTTCCGCGGGCCCTCAGCGCCGATCGATAGCCGGCAGCTGGCCCGCTTCTGTGGGTCACGTCAGCTGCGCGTCGGCGGCGGCCACCCGTTCAGATAGGTGCCGCTCTCCGGCCACCTGACATCGGCGGCGGTTCATAAAGGACGCTACCAGCCGCTGGACGTGCCCCTCATCGGCCGTCTGCGCAACGGTCCCGGGCCGACTGGGCAACCTCCGACGGGCGGACAGCGAGCTCGCCAGCCGACAGGGACGGCCTCCGACAGAGCGTCCGACAGTCGGCCGACATGTCGGGCTTCAGCCTGCTCCTGCTCCTGGCCGGCCTGGCCGCCGCCGCGGCCGACACGCCGTTTACTGACTGCGGTATGTTGACCTCGGGGCGTACTGACGTCACAGAGGTCAGCGGGCACGCTGGTGGAGAGGCCCCGATTATTGTATCAAAAAAGACGGACCTACCAGAATGCCCCCTGATTTGAGTTTCCTAAAACGAGTAAGGCAGCTTTCAGCCTCAAGAAGTCCCAAATAATTGAAAGATTGCAATTTTCGTCTTCTGTCATCAACCGTCGTGCCATTGACAGCCATCATGAAGACACCACTGGCGCGTATTAAAAGCTTGCTAGCCCTGCTTTTGCATAAAGATGGAACTTGCGGAAAAAGATTCTTGATGAAAAAGTTTTTCGATCATGATTGAATTAAATATACGTTTGAATATACATTTGAATATACGTTTGAATACACGCTTGTGAATACACGCTGTGTGAACATACGTTTGAACATGCGTTTTTTTATATCCGTTTGAATGTACGTTGAATGCAAGTTTGAGATTGAATTGAATATACACCGACTAAATGTAGTAGGAGGCGAGCACTTCATGCCATCTTCACATCGCCCCGATCGGACATCGACATTATCTAGCACCGACAGTGCAGTGCGTTCCGACGCTGATCTGATGCCCCTACAGAATCTGCACCTTTCTTAAGGTCCAATCTGAAGTTCAAAACAGTCACCGACATATAGCCTGGGGGTTTTCTGACGGGCCATACTAGGTGGCTTCCTTTAATGGAGTACATCTCGTAAAACAGCAGACGGGCTGTGGAACACTGCACGCCGTTGAAGTTGTCTTGAGGACATATTCATTTCCAATCATCGGATTTCTTATGTTTCATTTCACTCTGAGGTAACGAAACCTGCCTCACCCTGGAATTTAGTAGCGTGTGCAGCTCAGCTCTGCTGCAGCGCCTGTTTTCAACAGATGCGTCATACGCCGAAGATAACTGTTGGATATAACCTGTCAAGACAGCCACAAACAGATTGGCTGTCTTTGTTTTGATCAAGCTGAGTTTGTTGCAACTATATCCAGGGCAGGACAAGCCATCACCACAAGTTCTCACCAACATATGAGGGATGACTGTGTTATGCACCGCTCGATCTATGGAAGCATGTGATTTCCTTGGTCTTCGAAACACGAGAAGACGGTACTGCCACTCGTTGTCCAACTCCGCTCCAGGAAGTAAAAAAGCATTGTGACTGCAGCATGTATATGATCGACAAAGTAACATGGTCCGTAATTTGTTTTAAAGAAAGGACAAGTAAGACTGGAAAACGCTTGGGAAATTCAGGTTTCCCCAGATGCTATGAAAATCACCTTGGCTTTTCCAAGCTTTCCCCTATGGAGCGCCTGCTATAAGCCATTGCTTAGGGAAACGTTGAAATTTCTCCGAGTTTCTCCGATCATCATGCTTGGTATGTGCTTGGGGAAGTCATTCTTAGTGCAAAACTGCCATAGGCAACTCGGAGAAACGCTGAAATTCCTTGGCCAACTGTTTGGGGAAAAGCTGGGAGCTCCCGATTGGGATCTTGCATTTTTAGTTCGTGTGAGCATGACTGTGTGTGAGCATTTAGTGTGAACGTGCCTCAGTTGAGCTGTGTATTCACCATACACAGCTAAAAAAAAACGCTCCAGAGGCTTCCACTGTGGAGAATATTGGGAAACGTACCTGGACAGAACGGGAAACTCAGCTGAAGTGGCTCAGCTTTAGGTCTGATCCCATTGATTTCCCATTTCTCCAGCTCACAAAGTCGGAGAGCCGTCGGGGTATCACGGTTAGAATAGGGGGACAGTTTCTGGTTAGAAAGGTGCTAACCGTAAAGCAATCTGCTTACCTTTCCGCTTGTCCCGAGCCATTATCGAACTTTCTTATTATTGAACTCACTTGGCTCAATTCAGCCTCACAGATAAAGCCTTTGGTCTGTTTCACCGCTCTGTGTCGGTCAGCCGGCTGGCAGAGCGTGCCTCACCACCCTGTGTCGGTCAGCCGGCTGGGAGACCGTGCCTCACCACCCTGTGTCGGTCAGCCGGTTGGTAGAGCGTGCCTCACCACCCTGTGTCGGTCAGCCGGCTGGCAGAGCGTGCCTCACCACCCTGTGTCGGTCAGCCGGCTGGCAGAGCGAGCCCCACCACCCTGTGGCGGTCAGCCGGCTGGAAGAGCGTGCCTCACCACCCTGTGTCTGTCAGCCGGCTGGCAGAGCGTGCCTCACCACCCTGTGTCGGTCAGCCGGCTGGCAGAGCGTGCCTCACCACCCTGTGTCTGTTAGCCGGCTGGCAGAGCGTGTCTCACCACTCTGTGTCGGTCGGCGGCAGGGTCCAGCAGCACCATCAACACCCTGCAGCTGACCGGCTGCAATGAGGTGCCCTGCATTCTGCACAGGGGAAAAGATCTGGTGATGGACACCGACATCACCGCAGGTCAGTCGAAGGGAAGGATGTTGTGCGCGGCAGCCTTGGTCTGCGGACGTCTACACGAGAACAACCAACACTGAGCCTCTGAGGGCTCCTGGCCCCTGGGGCCCTGATCCCAGTGATATCGGAGCAGATTTTGCTATTGTGTGTGCTTTCACCTTATAAAATGGCATTAGCACAGGTTGGATGACAGTATGATTGAATGTGTTGTTGCATCCCTGGCCGTTTGGGCATACATACGCCTGTAGGAGAGCCGGCTGTTCAGAAAGGCTCCCGTGTTCTTCATGGAGGGGTGGACGTGTAGCCAGATCACCGTGTGAAGTACATCGCGACTGATCGTGACTGACAGAATCGGAGAGCGTCTCGACCCCTCTCTGTGCGGCTCTGTTTTGTTGAGCCTGCAGCAGGCTGCGACTAGGTTGGTTTGTTCAGATGGAGCGGGTCACAGACACGTGACTACCTCCTCCCCCCCTCCCCCACCGACAGCGCGCGGCCGGCGCTACGCAGACGCGTTCACCGAGCGTGCATTTTCACATCTAGCGGTGCAGTTGCATGCACTATCACTTCACTTGTCGCTTTGACGTTGGAGGAGCAGCAAAAATTGGACTATGGAGAGGGCACATGCATATAATATGTGCCTACGAAGAAATCGTAACCCAAGTTTACCTGAAACCTGAGCTAAATACACTTATATATATATACATATATATATATATATATATATATATATATATATATATATATATATGCATATATACGTCGGCAACCAAGTATCTCGCTTTCTTAACCTGACCGTTTATCCATCCTCGTGTACACCAGAGGCACGTTCTCTGTGTTGTGCGTCGGCTGATGCACTTGCGGACTTATTTCATCATATGAGAACTGCGTCTGCTGATTCCAGCTTCGAGCATCTCCAGCTTGACGTCGGAAGTTCAAGGCATCATCAGCGGCATTCCGGTGCCCTTTTACAAAGACGACAAGGTTCGTAGCAACGCCACGGGCCGGCCCCGGGTATTCACGTCCCCTACCACATGCCAAGACTCGTCCGTTTCGTCAGGCAGAGACCTCCCTCGTTCTTCTGAACGTGTGTGTGTGTGGGGGGGGGGGGGAATGCTTATTTTGCGTGTCACCACCAAACCAATGCTTGTTTTCGGCCAATGGGCCACGTCTAACAGTGCCAGACCACCTTAAAGGACTGAGCCACTTGTGGCCGCTTGCTGTTCATCTCAAGGTCTGTGTCCCGTGTAGCCATTCCCCGCCGCTCTCGAGGTTTGTGTCCTATGTAGCCCTTCCCTGGCGCTCTCGAGGTTTGTGTCCCATGTAGCCCCTCCCTGGGGCTCTCGAGGTTTGTGCCCCATGTAGCCATTCCCTGGCGCTCTCGAGGTTTGTGTCCCATGTAACCCCTCCCTGGCGCTCTCGAAGTTTGTGTCCCATGTAGCCCTTCTCTGGCGCTCTCGAGGTTTGTGCCCCATGTAGCCCTTCCCTGGCGCTCTCGAGGTTTGTGTCCCATGTAGCCATTCCTTGCCGCCCTCGAGGTTTGTGTCCCATGTAGCCATTCCTTGCCGCCCTCGAGGTCTGTGTCTCATGTAGCCATTCCCTGCCGCTCTCGAGGTTTGTGTCCCGTGTAGCCATTCCCCGCCGCTCTCGATGTCTGTGTCCCATGTAGCCGTTCCCTGCCGCTCTCGAGGTCTGTGTCCCATGTAGCCATTCCCTGCCGCTCTCGAGGTTTGTGTCCCGTGTAGCCATTCCCTGCCGCTCTCGAGGTCTGTGTCCCATGTAGCCATTCCCTGACGCTCTCGAGGTCTGTGTCCCGTGTAGCTATTCCCTGACGCTCTCGAGGTCTGTGTCCCGTGTAGCCATTCCCTGACGTTCACGAGGTCTGTGTCCCGTGTAGCCATTCCCTGCCGCTCTCGAGGTCCGTGTCCCGTGTAGCTATTCCCTGCCGCTCTCGAGGTCTGTGTCCCGTGTAGCCATTCCCTGACGTTCTCGAGGTCTGTGTCCCGTGTAGCTATTCCCTGCCGCTCTCGAGGTCTGTGTCCCGTGTAGCTATTCCCTGCCGCTCTCGAGGTCTGTGTCTCGTGTAGCTATTCCCTGCCGCTCTCGAGGTCTGTGTCCCTAGTAGCCATTCCCTGCCGCTCTCGAGGTCTGTGTCCCGTGTAGCTATTCCCTGCCGCTCTCGAGGTCTGTGTCCCGTGTAGCCATTCCCTGCCGCTCTCGAGGTCTGTGTCCCGTGTAGCTATTCCCTGCCGCTCTCGAGGTCTGTGTCCCGTGTAGCTATTCCCTGCCGCTCTCGAGGTCTGTGTCCCGGGTAGCTATTCCCTGCCGCTCTCGAGGTCTGTGTCCCGTGTAGCCGTGCCCTGCCGTCCTCGCTGAGACATGCTTGATTTTGTCTCAGGCGTGCGACAGCCTGACTTCGGCATCGTGTCCCCTGGCGAGCGGCGACACCTTCGCCTACCAGGTGTCGTTCCCCCGTGCTGAAGGAGTACCCGACCATCCCTGTGCTGGTGCGCTGGGACCTGGTCGACGAGGCGGGCGGCGTCGTGGCCTGCGCCGAGATCCCCTGCAAGATCCAGTGATGGGCGGGGTACTATCGCGCAGCTGTGTGGACAGTACCCGACCAAGGGCGGCGCACTGTCGCACTGCTGCGGCGACAGTGCCTTACCAAGGGCGACGCACTGTTGCGCATCTGCGAGGACGGTGCCTAGCCAATCCAAACCAGCAGGCAGTGGACAGGGAGACTAATGCACGCATCCTCTATTGTCCCGGAACTGTCAAAACATCTGATCTGAAGATAGGACGCTTGATTTGATATTGATTCCGTATTTATTGCGCAGCTGAATCTGTGTATGCAAATACACCGCGATCACGCCTTGTCTTTTTTGCAGCCAAGCGCGGTCTCGTCACTTCTTTCAGCACTCCGCAAGAATAAAACACGTGCGCGAGTGTACTACAAACATATATTTGCGAAAATATGCGACGGAACAGTGGTGGGGCCGCCGTAACACAGCCGACGTACCGACGGAGCGGCCTCTCAGGACCCCACACGCTGCAGGACAGCCTCCCGCCGCTCGCCGGGAGAGCTGCGACCTGACCTGACCTCGACTAGCTACACTCGACGCTCAACCGCAGAAAGCACCCACTACGCCCGCACCACCAGAAACAGAACAGATGTCGACAGAGCGGGCTGCAACGCGGCGGAAGCCGCTAAGGCATCGAAGCAGAGCAGCTGGCGTCTAAGCCGGCCGGGCCATCGGTTATATTGTACACAGATACTAGCGGCGTTGTCCCGAAGCGAAGCGAAGAATGACAAGTACACGGTACGCACGTCACCTGATCACGTTTACCTCTGCTCGAGAGCACTTCCATCACAGATGTCACACCGTACAGCCTTCGGTCGTCTCGCTCCGACGTCGACCGCCTCTCCCGAGTCGGTAAGGACGGCGCCAGCGCCACCTCTACATGGGCGGCGCGCCTCCGGGGTAGTTCAGCATGGTCTGCACGCTGGCGGCGAAGTTGTTGGAGCCGTTGCTGCAGTCGGCGCCGGACTCGCAGACCGGGTACAGGGCCAGGACGGCCAGGCCGAGCAGAAGCAGGGCCTGCACGGGCAGCGCCACCCGAGCCACGCGCCACAGGAGGCCAGCGGTCCGCGCCAGCATGCTGCGTCTCTCCTCGTCGTCCGGCTGCGACACGAGCGTTGCGTGTCAGCCACGACATCCACATGCACCCAGCACGGACGAGTGCGGCAGGCACAGAACATCAAAGTCCAATGTGCCGCGCGCGAGTGTGACATCGACAATACGGGCGCAGTGTCATTCTCTCTGACGGTGTGACAGGGGCCGTGCATAAGTCACAGTTCAATGTCTCCCTGACGGTGTGGCAGGGACCGTGGATAAGTCATAGTTTAGGTCTCTCTGACGGCATGACAGGTACCTTGCATTCGTCAAAGTTTGGTGCCTCCCTGACGGTGTGACAGGGACCGTGCATATGTCACAGTTCAATGTCTCTCTGACGGTGTGACAGGGACCGTGCATACGTCCCGACTGAATGTCTCGCCGACGGGCGTCAAGAAAGTAGTCTTGCGTGGTCCCCCACGCAGCCTCGACACACTGCGCGGGGGGGGGGGGGGGGCTCACCAGCGCGCCGTCCGGCTGGTCCTCGTCACCGGCGACGGAGAGCAACTGCGACTGCAGCGCCACCAGCCGGCCGGAGACGGCGTCCCACTGGCTCTGCAGCTCGGCCAGCCGCTCGCGCACCGGTCGGCCGCCGGCGGCCGCCGCCTCGGGCAGCTGGCGGCCGGCCAGGCAGACGGCCGTCACCAGCTCGGTGTGCGCCTCCAGCTCCACACACAGTCGCTGTCGACACACGACGCTCCGGTCACGCACGGCCGGCTCGCGCGGTCGGGCAGGCGTCGGGGCAGTCCACGCAGCGCAGCCGCTCCATACGACTCGGGTGGCCGGTGCGCAGAGCAACACGGCTTCGGCAAACGAGGGACGCGCAATGAGACGGGAGCTCTTCCGTCACATGGGCAAGCACGATCAAAGAACCGCGCCTGGTGACTCCACGACAATCCGCTCAGCATGCTACCAAGCCACGCACACACACACAGGCACACCATCGCCGCCACTCACGTTGAAGCGGCGTAGCTGGACGTCGTCGCGGCGCAGACGGTCGGCCGGCGGCATGGCGTCCAGCTTGCTGGCCGTGTGCTGCAGCCACTGCTGCAGCCGCCACCGGTCCAGCTCCCACTGCATGGGCGCCCGCTCGCTGTCATGAAGGCGGCCGTGCGCCGCCCCCCGCAGCGTCTCGTATCGACGACGCACGGCGGGCACGCGCTCCTCGGTCGGTCCTGCCCGCTGCCGGCTCAGTGAGTCGACTAGGTCGGCGGCGCTGGCGCAGGCGCCCAGCTTCTGCGCCAGCTGCGCCAGCGGCGGCGCCTCGGCCGCCAGCAGCTGCTCCAGCTCCGCCAGCGACGCCTCGGCCTCATCCATGGCGCCGTCCAGCTGCGCCACAGACGCGTCCGCCGCCTGAGGAGGAGAGGAGAGGGCGGGTCGGGTCAGAGAACGTAAATGTATCCACCGTAAAGGAATAATAGCGGGCCTGGTCACACAGACGCCACTATGGCAGGTCAGGTGGCAAAGACCGCACGAAACGCAGGCGAGACGCGTTTCTGGCAAGGCCACATAATATGGTCTGACAATAAGTACCAACACCACGTCAGGTATCCAGACAGGCCCAATGGCACATCTGGTAAAAACGCAGCACGCGAGTGAGTTTGATGAGGTCAGACTGAAGAGACGGCAGGAAGATGGCCCAGGCCAGCCCACATCGAGGAGGAACAAAATCACCTGGAATGGGTCGCCTCAGCCTTTGCCGCTTCAAATGTTTGACCCTGCCCCAAGTCTGCCGTCTGTAGAGGACCCCGTTCCCCAGCTTGGCTCTCAGCACCGCCGCCTGGTCGGGGCGCCGTCCACTAACCTCTGTCTCCGGGGTGCCCAGCAGCTGCTGCAGCTCCGCCAGGCCGTCGCCGAGCCGGTGGTAGGCGGCCGGCGGCCGGAGGTCGTACGAGCTGGCCTCCTCGGGCGCCGTAGTCTGCAGCAGGCTGACCGTGTCGCGCACCGCCTGGTCCAGCTGGCCGGCGAGCGCCGCCCGCTCAGCCTGCACCTCCTGCCGGCGGCAGCAGCGCACACCCGTCAGGCGGCGGCCCGCCTCAGACGGTCCGGCTCAGACGGCCGGCTGACGTCAGGCGGCGGCCCGGCTCACACGGCCGGCTGACGCCAGGCGGCGGCCCGCCTCAGACGGCCGGCTGACGCCAGGCGGCGGCCCGCCTCAGACGGCCGGCTGACGTCAGGCGGCGGCCCGGCTCAGACGGCCAGCTGACGTCAGGCGGCGGCCCGCCCCAGACGGCCGGCTGACGCCAGGCGGCGGCCCGCCTCAGACGGCCGGCTGACGTCAGGCGGCGGCCCGGCTCAGGCGGCCAGCTGACGTCAGGCGGCAGTCCGGCTCAGGCGGCCAACTGACGTCAGGCGACAGTCCGGCTCAGGCGGCCAGCTGACGTCAGGCGACGGCCCGGCTCAGGCGGCCGACTGACGTCAGGCAGCGGCCCGGCTCAGACGGCCGACCGACGTCGGGCGGCGGCCCGGCGAACAGGGCGGGGGACCAGACAGCATGATGGCATGACTTTCGCTAGCCGTTGAGTCACCTGAGCATCCCCGGTTACGGCACAGTGACACCTGTCATGTTACCGCTCCAAAGACCATGTGAATATCATTCCACCGGGCAGGCGCGGTCGTGTCTGCCACAGCGGCGACACCAGCGCCGCTGCGGCCCGGCCCGCCGCGCCACTCACAGCCAGCTTCGCGGGTCCGTCCAGAACACCTCCGGCGTTCGCCTCCAGCTGGAGCAGCCGGGTCGTCTCGAGCAGCTGGTCGGCGCGCCGCTCCAGCTCCGCCCAGTCGCCGGCCGTGTGGCGCTGCACCGCCGCGTGTCGCTCCATGCGCGTCGCGGCGCGCTCGGCGCGCGCCTGCAGCGCCGCCCAGCGGCCGGCGGCGGCGACGCCGCGCTCGGCCAGCGGCCCGGCCGGCACCAGCTGACCGCGCCGCAAGCCGTCCAGCAGCAGGCGGCGCGCGGCCTGGACGGGCGGCGCCAGCTGGCGCAGCTCGTCCGCCGTCTGGCTGGCCGCCTCCAGGCCCGGCTGGACGCTGTGGCGCGCCACCAGGCCGGCCGGCGGCTCGGCAGCCTTCAACCGCTGCTCGGCGGCCGACAGGCGCGGCTCCAGATCGCGCAGCTCTCGGCCCAGCTGACCGGCCGTGGCCCAGGCCTCGGACACGCGCTGCCGACGGCCGGCCGACGCGTCGCAGATGTGGCGCCACCTGTGAGCGAAGGAGGCGGCGTCAGCGTGAGAGTCCGGTGCAAGGTTCGCCAGCGGCATAAATTAATTCCATACCTACGTTAACATACACAAACATACTCTCGACGTACAGGAATTGCATGCATCCAACGGCCATCGAAAAACAGCCAGACGGTTGGTAGCCAGCAGCAGCCGACACAGACAGCCTCGGATCCCACTGCTGCCCCTGACCCACTAACCTTTCTTGAAGGTGTCCGCCGCCCTGGGTCACCGACAGCACCTCGCGGGCCTCGGGCAGTCCATCCGTGTCGCTCATTAGTAAGTCACACAGGCCGGAGATGTCGCCCATCTTCTTACTCACATCCCGTACCAAGTCGAGCATTTCCTGCAAAGGCCGGGCTTCGTCAGCACAACCCGCGAGCGCGCCCATCTTACGGTATCATCAACGGACACCAATATTTGCGTACGAAAGGCGTCGGAGCCCCACCCAAGACAGACGGCCTCAAGTCAGCCGAACTATCACACCAAACCGACTGTACGCCAACGTGTGCCAAGGGACGGGCGAAGCATCGAAACGGCCTCGGACAGCAGACGATTTCGGCAGGGGTTAGTCGTCATAGCTCACGTCGTTTTTCTTGTTGGCCGCCTGGTGTTCCTTCTTGTCGCCGGTCTCGAACTGGACCGGCTCGTCCAGCGTCGCCTCGATCTTGGACAGCTTGCCGTCCAAAGCGGGCGTCATTTGCTCGAAGTCAGCCACCGTCTGTCGACCCGAGGAGCGGTCAGGTCACACGGCGGTCAGGTCAGGAGCGGCCAGGTCACACGGCGGTCAGGTCAGGAGCGGTCAGGTCACACGGCGGTCAGGTCAGGAGCGGTCAGGTCACACGGCGAGCCGCACCGACCAGCGGGCAGCGGCCGTTATTCTGTCGCCACTGACGGCGAACAGTGAACATGAGCCGAAACCTGCTCGAAAGCTTGCCAGCCTTTTCATTAAACGCTGTTAGATGGCCTTAACAAGGCAGTACCGGTAAAACATGCTACGCAGTTTAAATGCTTCGTTATAGCTGTCTGCAGCAAAGTTGCCGTCCTCCATATTCGTTTGTGTTTCCAGCTTATTTTACAAACCATCTCGCCCAAAAACAGCCGCCACCCACAACCCTTCCCTTTTCACCAAACGTGCCAAGCGGAGGCAGCTCGCGGCGCCTGGCGGCGGCGCCGGGGTCGGGGCAGCGCCTCACCTCCAGGAGAGAGTTGATCTTGTCTCGGCGCGCGGCCCGCTCCGCCTCCAGCGGCGCCACGTCGCCGTCGGCGGCCGCCAGCTGCGGCGGCAGCTCGGTCTGCAGGTACTCCAGCAGGCTGCACAGCGACAGCTGGCCCTGGCCGCGCAGGCTGGTGCGCTTGCGGCCGCACCAGGCCTCGTGCAGCTGCTCCCTGGACGCGAGCGGACGGCGCGGTTAGCGGCGCGCGGCCGGAGGCAAGCGGGGTACGCCATCGGAGCGCGACGGACAGCGGAGCGTCATAGGTCAACAGCCACGCGCAGACCAGCACAACGTGCTGAGAGGAGTCAACATGCAGACGCGCCACCACCTGTAATGCCTTCGGCTTCCCGATGTCACCATCCGTTCCCTGCTGTCAGTATCGCCCAACTCTCCCTTTCCACAAACTGTGATGCTAATGCCTGCACACGGACAGACGGCCTCCTCCCGGCCAGGGGGCAGGCCTGTCGTCTCGTACCTGAGCTGCCGCAGTTTGCGGCCGCTGCGCTCGTCCGCCTCGCGCTGTCCACCAACGGCCAGCAGCAGGCGCAGCAGCAGCAGGCGCGCGCGCTGCTCCGCCACCGCCTCGGTCGCCGAGCGCACGTCCTCCGACAGCAGGGCGCCGCTCAGGGCCACCATCTGGCGGTCGGCCTCTTCCAAGCGGCGCTCCAGCTGTCCCAGCCGCAGCTCAGCCTGGTCCGGCGGTGCGGCCAGCTCCCGCTCCAGCGCGTCCAGCCCGGCGGCTACCTCGGCCACCGCCGCCTGGTGACGCCGCCACGCCGCCGCCACGTGCGCCACGTACGCATCCCACGACGTGAGCGCGGCGTGCAGCTCAGCCAGGCGCCGCTCGAGCGGGCCCGACCAGCGCTCGGCCAACGCGCCGCCATGGCGGCCCAGCTCCGCCAGCAGCCGGGCGCCGCGCGGCAGCCGCTGCAGCAGCTGCGCCAGCTGGCGCTGGCGCGCCGGCAGCTGGCCGGCCGGCAGCGGCCGCCGCTGCAGACGCCGCCGCTCCGCCTCGGTGCGCCGCAGCCAGGTCACGCAGCGGCCGAGCAGCGCCCAGCCCACGGCGGCCCTCTCGGCGCGCAGCTGCGCCAGCTGGCGCAGCACCAGCGCCAGGTGTCGGCGCAGCTGGTCGGACGGCGGACCGCCCGGTTCGGCTGCCGCCAGCGCCGCCGCCAGCTGCTCCCGGTGCACGCCGAGAATGGCCTCGGCCGTCTGAAACGCCACGGGCGCAAGTCAGCAGCCGCAGGCAGGCCGCCTGGACAAACAGCGGCGACCAGGCCCAGCACACCACATCACTCACAGCCGGGCCCAGCACACCACATCACTCACAGCCGGGCCCAGCACACCACATCACAGCAGGGCCCAGCACACCACATCACGCACAGCCGGGCCCAGCACGCCACATCACTCACACCACTTCACTCACAGCCAGGTCCAGCACACCACATCCCGCACAGCCATCGGCAAACACTGGCAAACCTATCTGAATTGCAAACATAGCCACAAACTTGTTTTTTACACACATGTGCCAAATAGCAGCCTCACGGTAATTCATCACAGTCTTCGTCGTTTCACGCAGCAGGAAACGACAAACTTTTTTCATTAATTCTTGAACTTGGCCATCTAGCCTTTTAAGTTCGCCTTTTCACGTACATGCTCAGCCGCCATCAACACTACACAGCTGCATGAGCTGTTCACAACTTCGTGCAACATGCCAGTGACACTGTGCGCCTACCTGAGCGCGGACCGGATCTCCGATCAGCTCTGGCTGATCCGTGTAGGTCTCAGCCGGCGACGCGTGTTTCGTCAGCTCCTCAAACACAGCCTCGTGAATTCCTTCCGATCCGTCTTGGATGGCCTGTGTCACCAGCGTCTCGTACCGGGACATCAGAGGACTGATCTTGACCTCGTTCCAGATCTGTGGGAATCGGGCACTCCGTGAATCGTAAGCCAATCACGTGGGAAGAAAGCGGTGGCAGCGTGTCAGCCACCAGTCTGCTTGTTCGGTGCAAACACGCAGTTCAGCACGATGTTAAACAGGTTTCAACGCCGGAGGCGCGATTGAAGCCCAGCTGTTTGTGATGCTGCATGCAGCTGCAGCGTTAAGAATGAATAAAATGAAGTTCCCTACGGCCGAAGATGAGCACAGGACTGAACATAGCCCGCACCAGTTCGCGACGGGTGTCGCTATTTAGCCACATCATGCGGCCAGCAGTCCAGTGTGGGTGCCGCCTGATCACTCACGTGCAGCAGCCGGGCCGCCTCCCTCGCGCAGTTCGGCGGTGCTCGCCGCCACGCTCAGCTGGCGCAGCTCATGCGCCACGTCGGCCGCCGCCGCCAGCTGCGCCGCCGCCATTTGCGGCAGCTGGGCGCGGCTGTCGGCCGCCTGCGCCAGCTGCCGCTGGAAGCCGGCCAGCACCAGCGCCTCCTGCGCCGCCCGCTGCGTCATCTCCGGTGAGCGCAGAAGGCGGGCGGCCACCGCGTCCATCCGCTGGCCGGCCGCGCTCAGCTGACTCTCCAGCTGGCCCACGGCGTGCGAGGTCACGTGACCGGTGGCGGCCAGCTGGTCCAGCAGCAGCCGGCCGCTGCCGAGCGCGCGCTGCTGCAGCGGAAGCTGCTCCAGCAGCGGCGCCGGCTGCTGGTCGGCCAGCGGTTCGGCCGCGTCCAGCCAGGTCTGGGGCGGCGTCGAGCTGGGCGGCCAGCCGCTGCCAGAGCGCGGCGCCCGCCCGGCAGCGGTCGGCCGCCTCGGCCAGCGCCTCGGCCGCCTCCTCCTGCTGGCGGCGGCCGCGGGCGGCCAGCGCCGCCGCCGGGCCCGCGCTGCCCTCATCAGCCGCCTCCGTCGCCGACAGTAGTCGCTGGTGCGACATCTGACGGCGGACAAACAGCGCATGAGTCACCCACTATTCCGGGGCGAGCTGTCCCCGGCGGTCGCCTAGGGCGGCCTATTGATCCAATGATGCTCATTGGTATTTACCAGGGAATATGGCGTTGTCGACAATCATTGTAATTACTGCCCCGGGAGCATCGTCGGTATGGATTGGCTGGATGACAGAAATAACCATTTCTATTTATATAAACAGATGCCCATTTAACCTATGTGGTAAGCCGTACGAATCTCACCCTCTCGCATGCCGGCTATTTGATACCAGATCGCTTCTAAAGCTACCGTTGAGGCATAAAAGCAGCATGATCGGAACCAAACAGTAACTTGCATATTCGTAAAACAGACACCTGTGCAAGTATACATACTTGCCACGTGCGTCAGACCACTATCGGCGCCCGCACCGACATCTTGGCATCTCAACGACGCCAAGTTGGGAGGCGACGAAGGCCGCGCCAGCCAGCCAGCTTGTTTTCACCTGAGCTTAAGGCCGAGCCTCTCCAT